TTTTCTCTTCTTTCAACCGACGTGTATGCATGTAAAAAAAAGTTTAGAAAATGTATATCTTTTTTTTAAAGGTTTAGAAAAAGGTATAGCTAAAATAACTAAATAAATAAATAAAATTTGACAAGCTAGCGAGCCGAAACTCGGCTCAACTCGTGTGCATACGGGCCAAGCCGACCATTGCCACCGCTACATATACATCAATAAGTGCTCTCCTGGTAGCCAAGAAAGGTCTTCCCAAGATTAGAGGAATATTTGAATCATATTTCATGTCCAAGATAATGAAATCTGCCGGGAAGATGAACTTATCAATCTTGACTAGCACATCTTTAATAATTTCTTTTGGTCTTTTGATAGACATATTGGCTAGTTGCAATGAGATTGTATACCTCACTTCATTTTGATCCAGACTTCCGCAATCAATTTATTCAAGTTTCATCTTTTAATTGTACTAGTCGACTTTCCAACAACAATTTTTGTACAAAATAAAATATGGGTTGTAATAAACATTTAAAGTAAAAAATAATATTACTTTTATTTGCATTGCACTGCACTTACATATGTGAAAGTTACGAGTTTGACCCTAAAATCACTTAGATGGGGTAAATAGGTGAATAACGCGGAATTAAAATTATCAATTAAAAGTAACAATTCACTTTTTAATTATTCTAGATGTTTAGTCAATCAAGTAAAGTTATCCTATGTTGAATTGACACAATAATAAATAAAGCTAATAAATAACACAAATTTGTTGATGGAGAAAACCCTTAACTTAGTAAAAACTTTGGGATCAAGCCATTAATTTTCACTATAGATAATAAGAACTTACAGTACGATCCAGCCTAAAAAATTTACTAGACTCGTTGATCTAATTCCTACAATCTCCAAGACCTACTAGAACGTGATTCACTCACACCTGCTTTCAATCTTTTGAAATTGTCTTTCTCATGTGGATTACCAAAAATACATTGTTCTTATACTCTTCATGTGCTTCTTGTCCAACCTCCCTCAATCTTCAGCA